ATATTGGTTGTGTATTTATCATTAATATCATTGTCTTCTTTCCCAATTTCTAAAATAAAAAAATAAACAATAAATTGTTGATGATTTGATATTAATTGATTTTGTTCTTCGTTTTCTCTTTGTGTATTGTCTTTCTTCTCTTGTTTTCTCCAGTGTCATAGTTTTCAATCACACTTTTTTGATATTCAGTGTTTTGTTTTTATTTATCTCTTATGTTCTTCTTCAGCCTCTCACAGCTAGCTCTGAGGGTTCGAATAATTTCATCCTTACCTCCTAATTCAATGTTCCTTCTATCACTTTCTTCATTTATTTTTCATTGTAAAGAATTATTTTATTATTTTAATTTAGAGTTTTCTTTTCTTATTTCATTATATGTAGTTTGAATATTGTTTATTTGTGTTTTAATCTTTTTTATTTCTTTCCCATTCTCTCTAATTGTATCTCGTGCTTTTTGAATCATTTCATTTGAAATAGTTCGTTCTTCTTTTTTGTTTGAAATTCTTTGATAGTTTCTTCTATTTCTTTAATTTTATTTTGAAGTGTGTTAATTTCTTCTTTGTTGCCTTCTTCTTCTTTATCTTGTGTTTTTTATTTATGTTATTTTTAATTTATTATTATTGTACTTTACATCTATCATTCATTTCTTTGATTTTTGTTTTTGATTCATTTTTCATTTATTTTAATATCTTCACTTTTCCAATCTTTTGTTTTCTATTTGAATTCTTATTTGTTTTTCTTTATTATTTTCTTCTTTCTTATTGAATATACTTCTTGGAGAATATTATACATTCTCTTTATCTTATTATTTTTTATTTATTTCTGAATATTCTCATTTCTCATTTTCATTTCTTATTCTTTTATTTTTCATTTTAATTTCATTTATTGTTAATAATTTAGATTTCTTATTTGTATAATGTTTATTATCATTATATTTACATTGTTTCTTATTTGTTTTTCTTTGTATTCTTCTTTTTCCATTCACTATTTTCTTGTTATTTCTTTTATCATTATTATTATGCATTTTATTGTTATTTCATTCATTCTTTTCTTTGAACTTGAATACCTGTTTGTTAATTGATTTTTTTTTTACAAGACTCTATGGTATTACTCAATAACCATTACAACAAAATTTGATTATATATTTTGAATTGATAAAAGGATATGAAAATAAGAAATGAACAAATAGAAAATAAAAATGATAATATATAAAATAACAAATGAACTAATTATAGATAAATAACAATAATATTAAATATTATTATTTATTATTAATTTTATTATTTA